GGTTGGACTGGATGGCCCTTGTGGTCTCTTCCAACTGTATGATTTTATGTTGTCATCAAGCACCTGGCTATAGGGACATAGCCAGATGTTTCTCACTCCCCACCCCAGTCTCTACCAGATACAGAAGGGCTGGGGAGGTAGTAGTAACTTCATGGAGAGGTGAATAGCCAGCTGTAGTGTAGTCTGCATGTGGAACTCTTATATTACGCTGAGCTATAAAGGATTCCAGTCATGGAGAGAGACATCTTTATTTTTGTGTGGGTCTAGACCTGTTTAAGGTTGAGGGACTTATTTCCCAAAGCCAAAGTAATTTCCAGTCATTTTTTAGTAGGAAAAGTAAATGCCTCTCCTGGACGTCCACATCTGGAGCAGGATATTGGCCCTCTTGACATGGTATAGTTGTCCACCCTGGCTTAAATGTTACTAAATGCTATATGATAGGTGATGAAAGGTTTCAGAATGTGAGTGAAGAGCCAAATAAATACTTTCTGCAGCCTAAAAATGTTCTCTAGCAAAAGAAGCACAATATGGTTCTGACATGATACTGCATCAAATTTTCTGTACACAGTTCACATAATTTGATACTCTGTCTCAACAGTTTGCACAGTGAACCTGAAGAGCAGGAAGTGTTGTTAACATTCTCATTTCCCCCCCACCAGAATGGAGTGTAAATGGAGTGCTGTGGCAAAAAGGATGCAAGGAATAACTGGACACCCATTACTGTCTTCACTTTGTTCTTCCTCTAGATTCATTCTACTGAATCCTTCAATCATAGTCATGTAAGGCCAAGGAAGGGATATTCTAGAGACCAAACTGGAACTGATGGTGAACAGCAGCCTGTGTGGATTTATGTAACTGAACACATTGTGTGTCTCCTAGTGCATCACTTTCACTTCTGTGAAGGCTCAGAAACATTTATAAATGAATGAGAACCTGAATATCCTCCTAAAATGGACTTACCCAGTTTGAATCACCTTCACACAAGGGAGAGAGTCATGATCTGAACTTGCAGCACTGAGTCACTTAAAACATAAAATGGTCAAATACTATTGTAGGTTCCTATTAGTTATACAGCAAGATTTTAAAGTTTCCAACACTCCATTTCACATCCACCCAATTGGTCAAGGTGAAAGCATCTCTGCATTGTTACAAAAGAGGCAACTGTTGTGTGTGGCTTCCAACTGTTGGGCTTCTACATGTGTAAATTATTGGCTCTAATGCTGATACAGTCCAGTGGAAGTTCAGACACTCCTGCCAATCTCTTGTGGTGATTGAAATGACTTTTCAGTTTTGTTTTCCTAACAAAGTTGGCCTCTAGCAAGTCTTATTCCATAAGCAGATCAATACCGAGTGATGTATGGATAACAAAATAAGCAGGCATTATTTTTACAAACAACTCAGTGGACACACTATTAGCAACCTGAAAGTGACTGTTACTCCAATTAGTCTGTTAAATAAAATTGCAGTCTTGGAAATCAAGTTATGGTATGACTGGAATTACCTTCAGAATGAAAATATACCAAAACAGGACAAAGGTGATGCCAAGAGCCAAGTGTCTCTCCATAATGGCACTTAGCAAGACAAACTTGAAACAGTATCCCTGTTTAAATGTTTAGGCAAATGCAAATTGGGAGCTCTGCTTACTAGGCAAACCTTAAATCTCTAGCAATCTGTTCTACCAGACAGTTATGCAATCTGCTCTGTACATACTGTACTGCACTTTCATGTAATGCAAAAAAAAAAAAAAAAGCTATCAATTTATATGTATTTGTCTCAGACTGGAAATGTAGAAACTTGTGGATTGTGTTACACTGTAAAAAGTAGTTGTCAAGTGTTGTGACAATTAAATGTAACTTCATTTCAAAAGTGACATGTGCCCTTAAAATGAAAACTGCTTTATTAAATGAGTCTTTATTTGCATATGAAAGCACAGCTTGTAGCCTAGATGCAATTTACTGAGGGAAGAGAGAGACTCATGTGACTAGAATGTGATCTTATAATCAAGCCAGGACCACTGAATCATCTAACATGCAGATAGGGCTATGTGGTATTTATGGTCCTACTTCTCCTAGTGACTTATTATGTGACCTCAGCATGTGAAGGGGCAAAGCATCAACAGTACAAGAAATGACAAAACATACCAAAATAATGGCAGCCTGGTCCATGCCATAATAAACTGCTTGTTGTTGTGTGCCTTGAAGTCATTTCCGACTTATGGTAACCCAAAGGTGAGCCTTATCACAGTGTTTTCTTGGCAAGTTTCTTCACAGGGGGTTTGCCATCGCCATCCTCTGAGACTGAGAGCATGTGACTTGCCTAAGGTCACCCAGAGGGATTGATGACTGAGCCAGAATTTGAATCCTGATCTCCAGAGTCATAGTCCAATGCTCTCAAACCACTGCACCTTACTGGCTTAGTAGCATTTTTCTAACCTTTTCTACACTGAACATGCAGGGATAGCTGTGTTGGCCATTTAGCAAATTCAAACAGTGATACCTT